AAAATAATTAAGAAAATAAAAAAGTCGACTAGATGATTAAGCTAAGTTCTTAGTATTGAAATTTTAGTTTATATTCAAGAGAATTATATGCAGCAACATATTCTAGGATTGTATGGTTCATTCTTGTACATCCTTCTATTTTTATGTGAAGATTTTATAACATTTCATGTAACAAATTCATTGAGAGTTCATCTCACTACCTCAAACTTTTAAATAAAAGTATGTGATATATTTAATTGGTTGTTAACATATTTTCAAATTTACCCATACACTCACAAAAAAAAAAAAAAGAGAGAAAATATATATAAACATTTATTTAAGTTTATTTTTATAGAGTGCTACCGTTGGGTAGTTACTCAGCAAGTGTATTCATGTTATTATATCTATTATGTCCAAATTTACTTGATGTATTTATGTAATACAGTTGTAAATGTCATTAAGAAATAAAAAAAAAAGGTTATTTTTATATATAGTATTATATTGTTTAGTTTGCAATAATTATGTTAATTATCACTCATAATTTTCATATATAATATAAACTCCCAATACTTTTTTCAGAGGAGTCTATCCCTCCTCCAATCAGAACAGATTTTTGTGCTTATGCTGTGGGGATACATGTGGTTAAAGAACCACTGGCCAATTCACCATTCCATTGATATTTCGGGATTTTCTATAGTATATGACAGAAATACATAGAACGGCTCATTCGAAGCTAATTTTCGCTCAATTATCTATCATCTTAGGAAAAGTGAAATGTGTTACTATTCAGGAATATTTTGAATTGTATTTAAAGGCTGTTGTAAAAAAATCAATCCATTTTTTTTTTAAGCAAAAACTTCTTTAGAGCTCAGTTTTTTTATGAGTAGTGAATGAGACTGAGCTGTCACATGTGGATATGTAATGCACATTCGATTAGTCGACTTATGGAAGTGTTTTTGCATTTGGATTAAAATATCTCAGAAACTAAAAATTGGACCTGCATACTGTAAGCAAGGAAAATGAGCAACATTTCATTCTCTTTGTGATGAGGTATTATTCAAAATTGTATCTTAATGCGATGCCCTGTTAGAGGTGCAAAAAGGAAAAAATATAGTATCCAAAACCAAATGATAACGAGTTTTGTTGAACATACGAATTAAAAAACTAAAATTTAGACCTGCATAATATAAGTGAGGAAATTTTTCAGTATTTCATCCTTTTTATAATGAGCTATAATTCAAAATTGTATTCTGAGTCCCCAAGTTTGACGGTTGGAAAGGGAAAAAGATAGGGCCAAAAAAAACAACAAATAATAACTGTTATTTTAACCAAAATATATTAAATCTTGAATTTGTAATTTGACAAAAAAATTCACAATAATTTTATTCTTGATTATGTTCTAAATTCTAAATATTTTATTTACAATCATGACTAATTGAAGGAAGAGATATACATTATCATCTGCTGATGGTATTTTCTATTTTCAAATATTATTATTTTTTTAAATAATCCATTGTTATTAATAAATAATTGATATTTTATTGAAACCAATTTGATTTTAGATTAAAAAGGTACACTATACAAATGTGTAAATATTATCCTCATACCAAATTAATGATGGTAATTATGCTTAGAAAATAAAGTAATTGTAAACAATACTATATTTTATTGTAAATTACATATATTATCCAGAGGCAAAAATCCATTAAACCATATTTATAAATATGGATTTATTTTATTCTTGCTAGAGACCCTAAAGTTTTTATAATATTCTAAATTTATCGACAAGTTTGTTGACAATGAATGTGAAAAAAATAATTAACTTTATTTATTCACCCACACCTGTCATAAGCAATAATAATTACCAGGTCTGCTATTGTTAAGTGTACAGGTAGTGGCTTGGTCGGCGTGATGGAGAGGAGTGCCCAGCAGCATCCCTTCCTGTCTTGATTTTAGCATATTTTTAAGTGAGAAAAGCTCTTTTTGAGCCTCCTAAGTGTGTTTTCGGCCATGTTAAAATGTAGCCATACTTTGTATAAGTGTGTTAGTAGAAAAAAGAAAATAATAACTTATAATTATAGCAAAGTTAGTTGGTGAAAATCGTTGTGGGTTACCAATATTATTTTCATGGTTTTGAAACTGCTACTTATTATTTTTTTTTTTTATTCCCGCTACCTGGCCATTTCTGCCATACGTGTTTCTGAGCAGCAGAGGAGCAGTGGGATCGAGTTTGCATGGGTTTCACGCATGTCACTGCCACGGATTGTACTCTTTTTATTTTTTATTATTCTTTATTTTGTACATTATTTAGGGTATGTATTTATTTCTAGGAACAATAAAAATAGGATTTTCCTGTGGCACGGTCCAGCGCACACATATTTCTGCTTATCCATTCTATTGCTAGTTAAAAATGTTTTTCGCTGAACTTTAGGCTGGGTGGTTTTGAATGTATAAGGCTTGGAACACATTTCTAGGACTCTAAGTTGACATAACAAATTTGCAAAATCCTTTAAAGTTAGGAACTGTCTCTTCGCTGAGACTATTCTCATTCTTCTTGTATTAGGGACTGCAACATTCAGTCCAAGATGCAGCAAAACAAAATCTGGGAGGTTATCAAGTTAAAGATTTTTTAAGGCATTGTAATTATCTTCAAATGTATCCAGAAAGCTTCTGCAGTTGGAAGAATTATCAACAGAAAGTGGTTTAAACCGTATAATTTTGTTAAGACGGTAGGCTGCAATGATCCTTTTATTATTATAACGCATTACTAATTTATCATAGGCCAAGCTGTAATTTACTGTGTTAAACTCGATTGAAGAAATGGCCTGTGAAGCAGGATGAACTAAAAAGTGACTTGAGATATGAAAATTTTACTATATCTGTCTAATTTCAATGATGAATTAAGTCATCAAATAATGATTTAAATTATGAACAAAATTGTTCGTACTGTCCAGAAAATTGAGGAATTTGTAAATCTGGCAATTTATGATACGCTATTAGATCAGACGGATTGAAAAGCGGGAACTATGTGCTCAGCTTTATTAATTTCTCTTGCGCAACTTTTATTTCACAATTAAGTTCCTCCGCCACTAAAGAAGATGCGTTTACTTCTATCCTAAGCTCCTCCTCTAACGATTCATTCAGCTCTACAATTTTGTTCAACACTGCTTCCTCCAGTTGTGCCTTAATTTCAGAAGCCCTAACCTTAAAAAATTTCGTACAGTAAAAATCTGAAAAACGTGCAGTAAAAACCAAAAATATGTAAAAATTCTGTAATTAACACCTAGGAACACACAAAATCATCAGTATTGTTTAATGTATAATATTTATATTTTATAAGATCTTGAGTTAACAAGAGATAAAAAATATATTAAAAAAATTAAAATATAACATGGAAAATGAAATTCCATATTATATTCAACAATAAATTACAATTAACCTAAACCTTAAAGAAAGATAAATTTAAACAATAATAAGGATTACAATCAAATGTTTTTGAAAACAAAAATTTCAAGATATAAACCGAAACCCTTGGATGAAAAATTAATTTTTCTCCCTACAAAATAAGATCTCAATAATTATAATTAACAGCCAAATAATTGAATATATTTGTTCGAATTGTCCTTAAATTGGATATTTGTCTATTGTATGACATAAAAGGAATGAGATAATGTAGAACATTGAAGGTTTGAAGGGAAGAATTATAGGTATCTTATTTTATAGAACAGACCAATTTTAGATATTTAACTTTTATTAAAAATAATAATGGAAAATTTATTTTTTAAATGAGTTAAATTTCTAATATACATTACATAACTTTTTTTTATTAAAATTTAAATTTTTTTTAAGAAACTAGACTTTACTTTTAGTATTATTATTGTATTTTTTTTTATTTATATATATAATAATGAAGTTACTACAAACCAATTCAAAGCCAGTAGGGATACTGAAGGGCTGAATGAATGAGTCAGAATTCAAGTCAAAACAATAATAATAAATGTCTTACTAACAAAACAGCTTATTATAGGAAAGTAGCTTTTTATTATCCAATCTTCAGGCAAGTTCTATTCCAAGAATATTTTTCTCTAGTGTTTACTTCTTCCTTTTGTAGTGTTGAATTCGATTTTGCTTGTCACAGAACTATTTACTTTCCTCATATTTTTTATGAGATAAAAGTAATGAATTTAATTTTAACAATATAGTAAAATAAAACAGATAATAAATCATCTAATTTATTGCGAAAACGTACAATTTGATGCAAATTATCTCTACTCATAACCTATCTGGAAATTTTCAGCGTACGACAAACATCACACTAATATGGCAAAAAAAAACTTTAATAATTCTGTCCAAGCGGACCAAAATTTTTAGGGAACTTTCCAAATTTTAATTAAGGCAAGGCAAATAACTCTCCTGAGTTCTTAATAGGCAACATTCTAGTTATTTAGGCAGCGGACTGAATTTTAATGGATTGGTAGGTTTTATGAATTGTGCAAAAAAAGTTTACCATTTTTATGCTTCCTTATGACATTTGTTACCTGAGAATCCTCAAGAGCAGATGTTGTCTCCTTGGATACTTGTGCAGAATGGGCTAAGTGAACTGGCGCTCCTACAGATTAAATGTTATCTTTAGATCTTCTGATCTGCCCCCACCACTAGTCATAATGAGGGAAATTGGAACTATTTTCTCACAAACAGGTATAATTAACTATCTTTAAAATGACAGCTATAATGCTTATTCCTGATCTAATAAATGTTAAAATGTATGTCAAATTACCAACAGAAGAAATTTCATTTTAGTGTAAGCGTTTAACTTAAAAACAAATTGTTGGGAATATAATAATGAGGAACAGTGAAGTGTCTCCTTTTTTTTTTTCTTTTAAAAAATTACATTTATATTCAAGAAAAATTCATTTCAAACAAACATAGTTACACAATGATTAATCTATTCATATGATCACATTCCAGCTTAAAATAACAAAGATACAAAATACATAAAACTAAATAAAAAAAAAAAAAAAAAAGGTTTAGACAAAAACAGTGATAAGATCATTAATTACAAAACTATTTAAAAAAATAAAAAAATGCTCCTTAAAATTTAATATCATGTTAATAAATTAAATTGATTTGGCACAATAAATTAAAAGATAAAGATTAAGTGGAATACAATTTAAGTCATTCATAAAACAGTATTATTCATTAAATAAAAAAAATCAAGGTTTAAGTGTTGCCGTTTCTTTATTATATACAAAGAATAATAGAAAAATATTACAACCAACTAAAAATATAACAGGCAAACTGTAGACAAAAGTCCATTTGTTTTTATTATTATCTTGATTTTCACTAATAGGTGTACTAGAATGTATAACTGAAGGTTTAGAATTAGAAAAGTTTCGACTAGAAAAATAATAAGCGAGAGTTTGAGCACATGATGGATAACACGGCTGTGGACAGCCAAACGAAGTAATAGTAGCAACAGATGGTTCTTGAGGTTCATAACTTTCATACATAGAAGGAGTAACAGATGGTTCATACTGGTTATAAGAAAATGGTGTTGATGGCTTCCAATGGTAATTTTTATCACTGCTAGCATAGCAACTCTTGGTGCCAGAGAATGGATTAAATTTTGGAGGTGTGATTAAAGGTTTTATGTTTTGTTGCTTAGCTTCTTTTCTGTAACGTTGGCCCAAATTCAAATTGCTTATACCAAAATTAATATTGCTTGAAACTTCATCAATAGATGAATTTTTAGTTTTAGGGCTAGTTCTAAAACTATTATTCATTTTCACATTTAAAATATCTTCCTCAATATGTGATTTGTAGATTTTGGGACCATATTTTAAGCTAGTTGTAGAAAGATTTGTGTTCGAGGGAGATCTAAAAATAAAAACAATAATTAAGGATATAAAAAAGATTTCTTTCCAAGACAATTTATATCACATTGTCTCAGTCATATTAAATTGTGCTTTATGAAATAAGTAAATAAAAAAAAGGGCATATTTTTTGTTTTAATTATTATTCAAATATACAAATCGATCATACTAATTAATTAAGCATAGATAGCTATATCAGATGAGATCGGTTTTTGGGTTAATACAAATGGAACTAGAATGATTTTAACACAGGTTACTAAATAATTAGATGATTCAAAACGTCTCCAAAAGTACAACAGTCAGATGTTGTGCCTTAACATTTTGACGACGATGAGCGGGAAGAAAGTAGTGGCCTTGAAGACAGCATTAGATGACAGTTCACAGTGCCCCTAAGATGGAATACTTTTACTATGAATTTAGGACAGGGGTATCTCTATACTACAGCCTGCAACCATCTCCGAACCGGCCCGCAAAAGTTTATTTGATTGCATGGTAAAAATTTAAAAAACTGGAACACGACGTTGCAACAACAGTTATTGTACGAGTTGTTTCTCTTAAAAAGCTAATTTAACAACTGAAATGTCACTTTTTAGAAAAAGCTTAATTTTTTTCGTCATAAGCCATGGCCTACAGGACTTCGTGCAATCCTTAATGTGATATGTAGTCCAGAAAGTTTGGAGAACTTTTTTTTTTTGGTATCATTCCAAACTTATTTATTTATTTTTTTTTCTAACTTTTATATAAAAGATAGAATGGTCAGAAGATAGTTTAAAAATAGGATAACCAGACTACAGTGAAATCTGCCCAAGAAAGAGAAAAAAAAAAGACAGAATAAAGAGATAATGCAGCTCATATGATTTTAAGGCCAATGCAAGTTCACCATGCATCATGAATGGTATCATAATTTACCAGATTATGGCATTAATTTACTTATTATACCATTAATTTATAAGAATAAATTACTTGTCCAATTTATAATTTAAAAAAAAAATGCTTTTACCAGTATGTCCCTTTCATAACAAATTGTCTGACAAATAAAATCCCACTTCTTGATGCCAATAAAATTAATACAAATGTGTAAAAAAAAAAAAAAAAACATGCCTTGAAATAGTAGGAAAACTTGTGGTTCTCTGGAACATTGGAGAGGTTTGAAGTTGAGCATTTCTTCTTTCCCAAACTGACTTTTTCTGTTTTGATCTTTGCATTGAATTTTTCATAAGTACAATGCCACTAATAGCAATAGAAACAATACCTGAAATTACCTGGAAATAACAATAAACAAACAATTATTTTAAATAAATTAATTTTCATTACACAAAGTATAAAGCCTACTTTGACTGAACACCATGACTAATTTCAAAATGTATATAGAACTGAATAGGTAGGTAGACTGCTTAGTCTGGTCGAACCAAACTTGCTCCAATCAAAGTCTGTCCAAAGAGGGATAGAAGCCAGTAGTGATATATCATCCGTAGAGGGGTTGAAGCTCTATAATGAATATAAATGAAGAAATAAACATTCAGTATTTTAATAAATTTGCTTAGCTATTACCCTTTCAGCTATAATCAGTCATTAACTGGGGGGCGGGGTGGCCGAATAGGCTAAAGCGTGTGCACAACACCGCTAGTTGCCTGGCAACCGGATAACAGAGATTTGAGATGATATAAAAAGTACGAGTTCGCGTCCCGGTGCCGAAGGGGATTTTAAATTCCCCGCCCTCACCCCCCGGCCCGGGAAAATCCCGTATAGCCTAAAAGGCGAGGTAGGGAAGAACAAAAAAAAAAAAAAAAAAAAAAAAAGATCAGTCATTAACCAAAAACATTTTCTTTTCCTGCAAAATATAATTTCTTATATATTCTAAATTCTAAACTATTGCTCTCTATCTATTCAGTTATATTTATACTTTAAAGGTAATCCAAGAGAGTGCTGTACTAAAACTAACGTTGAATAAGAGGAATATAAACACAAGTATTAAAAGATAAATTATTTTAAATTAAAAAAAAAAATTAACCTTTAAAATAGTCACATAATCTTCATATTCGGCAGGATAGAGAGTGAGGAAGAACATAAGAACCCATGAGCAAGAATTCAAAAAAATGCCAATTGATTTTGTTTGATAATATCCAACTGAATTTACTACAAAGCCAGTGGCAACAATAAACTGTATCCAATAATTTAGCATCTGCATTAAATTCGTATTAGTATGCAAGATGTAAGCATATTTTTGAAGACTCTTAAAATAAACAGAGATTTCAGGAGGCAAAGACATTTTTCCTTGTAAAGATGAAATAGCTAACAGCAATGATAAAAACATGTTTATGTAAATTGCTCTTTCTCCTCTAATCTTGACCTGAAAAGAGAACTGAGTTGAAAAAACAATTTGACAATTTATCAAGCATAATTCAACATGTTATAATCAAACCTGAGAAATAGCTGAATACAATTTTTTTGGCAGTGATAATTCTTCTCGCACATTTTGCAGCACTTTAGAAACCAAGATCTCACAATTTTCACATAATTCATAGTTTTTTTCAATTTGTTCCCTAATAATAAATGTAATATTTTGCAGTATCAGATAATTGTGTAGTATAAAAATGATAATAATACTCCAAAATATCAGTTCCTGACTCGCAACAAACCACAAATGGCTCATCAAGAATCATGGTATGCTAATTATTGGTATAACAAAGAGAAATTGTTTCTCAACCCTAAAGGATGTAGGATAAGATATTACCTCAGATATAAGCCTCAATCTGTATCAATAACTTATTTTGAGTTGAGGAATGTTACAAGGCAGGAGTCAGAATTTTGGAACATTAGCTGAAACAAGAATAAATTTTATGATAAATATTGAGATTATTATAAAACTTCATTCTCCATCCTTCATGACTTCTATAAAAAAAAAAAATAAACTAGTTCCAGAATTGCTAAATGGTGGGATGGTTTCAAAATCACAGAGAGCAGAGTACTGACAATCATGTTAAAATAAGATAACAGACCTGTCCAGACTTATAAGATTATTTTGATATTAATTTAATTAATTTTAATATTAGTAATACAATGTAGGATAAGGATAAATATACTAAGAATATAGATTTAATTTTTATTGAAGCAGTGCCTTAATTTGGTCACTATTATTCTAATTTTGTTCTCTAATGTTATAATCAGAAAGAGTAGAATGATAGCAATTAAAATGGATCAGAATCATAAAAATAATGTTTATCTTCAGGATCTCCAACGTCTTCAGTTCGTATGCTGAGTTGAAGTGTCTCTATCCAGTTTTTCTAACAAAAATATTTCCTAGGTGATTCTTTTTTTAAATCTTTATATCTGAATTTTTATTAATGGTTGACCATGATTATAATATGAGAAGGAGTTTGACGGGAAGTGCTGTCAAATAAATACTATATATTAAAATATTATTTATTTGACCGCAGCTCCCAACCAACTTCTTCTAGAATTTTTATTGAAATGAGTCAAAATTTGGAATATTTGGTTCTGGAAGGAAGCAGTGTGTTAAGGAAGATATGGAGTGAAATGTAAGGATTAATTTTTGCAACTAACAGTAAAACACAGAAGTGGTTTCTTAATGGTTTGGGATGTGTTTCTAGATCTGCAGTTGTAAACTCTTGTGAATAGATGGAAAACTGGATGCAAAACGGTATCATAGCACCCTTACATACCATGTAATACAATCTGGACTTAGGATGATTTGTTAAAGCATTATTTTTCATCAAGATAACGATAAAAAAATGTGATTTTGCCACTTTCTGAAATAAAAGTAACATTAAACAGAAAACAAAAAATGATTATGAAATATGGAATGTTAAATTAAATTTTTAAAAAAATTACTATAATAAACAATAAAAATATTATTTTTTAAAAATTTAGTATTTATTTGACTGCAATCCCCCCCTCCCCCTCTCCCGACCAACTCCTTCTCATATTACATCCTAGTCAACCATCTCTACATCATTTTTTTTTTTAATTAATAACATGTGGCGAGTGCCCATGAAGATCGGCCAGCGCCCCTAAGGCCAGCACTGTTCAATTACAATCAGTTGATAGCCTAAGGATGAATTGAAATTCATAAATGTTAATTCTGCATGATTTTGCCCTCTGGCTCCCAACTAACTGAGGTCATGCTATAATACTGACATAAACAAGTATTAAATTTCCATAAAAATCAGAGTTTGAAACAGAAAAAAAAATTCTACCTTTTTATAAGTTTCGGTACCACTGGAACTTTAATTATTGATAAGTTTTTCAGTTCTAATAGAACTAGATTAGAACTTTTTTCCTTGCGACTTTTCCAGTAAAGGTTTTACAGAACATTTATTTTTACAAATTTATGTCGGTATCGCTAAAAAATCAATCTAAAAAATTATTTATATTCATAAGCTACTCAAACAAATGACACATAAGAAGCTTGTGTAATTAATTTAAGACAAATTTTAACTTTATTCCAAGCCCAATTACTATTTATTTCTCATTTAGCGGAATCTTTTATTGATAACTTAAATAAATAAAAGTTAAACTTTTATCGCAAATCGAGAACATTAATAAAAAAAAGTTTCAAAGGAACCGTTTAAGTGGATTTTTTTAATATTAATATATACATTTTTTTTCTAATTCTCATTACATTAAAATTAATGACTATAATAATTTCTATAAAATTACTCACTGAAAATGTTCAATTTCCTTATCATAATTTTTTTCTGACATAGGAACGAATGAGGCTAGATGCTGCATTTTCATTTGTTGCTTAAAATTGCATTTATTACATAAACTTGGGCCTTTTCTCCACTCATTTTTGGGAATTTGACGAGCAACAGTCAACAGGTTTAAACTTTCACTATACTGACTAGAGATCACCTTATTATAATCACCATCCTGTAATGGAAACATAATGGAGAATATTCATGATAAATAACTATTTTTTATTTTTAAAAGTTTCCATACCTTATTAAATCCATTGTACTGCTCACAATTCGGGCAAGTCCAGCAATTTCGAATAGAAAAATTAACTTCAGTCTTATGTTTACAAAACCAACATTCTACGGACTTCGGAACAATCCTCCTACATTTTATATATTTTAAATCTATAATTAATACCATGGATTTATCATAAGTCCACACATCACAAAATATTTTACAATACATTACCTTAAGTAGCAGCTAAATTCAAATAAAATAATCCACAACACAACAACACTCAATCCAATTAATACAGTGGGTAAAGGGTCATATAAATTAAAATAATCCATTTCGTAATTAAGGAAAACAAGATTAACTAATATTCATAAAACAGAGATAACCACATGCCCCGGCTTTCCCCCCACAAACATCCAAATTGCCGCAAAGTTCTGATATTGAAAATGTAGCTAAATATAAATCTCATTTACCTCTTTGTAATAAGTAGATCAGTTAATGAAAGGTGTGGTTTAAATATAATCCGGATCTTAAAAGGGCGAATAAATAGTAAATACTTTGCAATATTTATCCACCATGAGACGGCATCCTCATTTAAAAAATTAGTTATTCGATTGAATAAGCTTACCGTTTGGTAGTTTTAATGAAAGCTGAGCAAGGCAGTTTGAGGAATCCTAAAACTGTAAAAACAGCTTCCTTTCATCAATAACTTTAAACTTCGGCAGGATTTCTTAATGTCCCTATGTAATATCGTCGGTACCATGCTAAATTAACGAATGTGCAAAGTTAAACAGGATCACATTCGTTATTCTATCATGATGTCGGCGATATGATCCTTGTAATTTCGGGATGGCAAGTTGGCGTATGCTTCAAGTCTCGAATTGAAGATGAATATTTTATTTATTTTTTTTTAATCTACATTCCTTATGCGATCACCACCCAGGAAATCTTCTAATATAATAGAAATTTCACAAATTCTCACTTACAGCATCTTCTATAATTCTTCCTGTTTCATATGAACTATTTTCAACTCAAAGCATAACCGACAATACCTAAAATAATCCACTTGTGTGGCGATAGTTAGATAATAATCCGTATCCTGTTTCTCAATCTCCGTAAGATTAGCAACCCTCGTGCCAATAACCGAGAATTGACTTGTCGCTGCAAGCTTTGGAACTAAATTGTGAAAAGTTTATAATGTGGTCATTAAAGTCGTTCCACTTCTTCTTGTATCACTCACCTCAAACCATTATTATTCCAAATGAAACTCCTTCTCCCTTTAAATAACTCGTGGTGTTGCTCAAGCATCTTCATACTCACTACACATTCTGCCAATCTGTTTTAACGACCTTCCTGATTCCATTCATTATTTACAATACCAATTATATGCTGACGATCTCCAAATCTACCATGCCTTCCATCCCACCGAGATTCTTGAGGCTACAAGAAGATATAGACAGTATAAGCGTATTGGCAGTAAGTAATAGTTTGAGGCTACCTTTTATGGTCTGTCTGGTGTGCATGAGATTAGATTTGAGTAATGAATTGTTTCATTATATTCATCTATGGAGTCCCCATGCGCTCCCATGTCTTCAGTTGCTATGCCGAGTTGAAGTGTCTCTATCCAGTTTTCTGAAAAAAAAAAATTCCTTGGTGTATTCTTTTTCCAAATATTCACAACCAAAAACCTTATTGACATATCTCCTTGTTTCTCTGCCTATTCTCTAATAGCACTGGAGCCAGGGCCCAAAAATCGCCCTGATCGCAGGCCAAGGTTTGATTGTAAATTACGAAAGTATATGTTATTCTAATTAAGAAAAACCTTGTCTGCCTTTCCAGAGCCGCTGCTTTCAAAAATGGCGGCTGATTTAAAGAATTTTAGGCCAGTAATTTGAGGATCGAAACGGGAAATTTATTGCGAAAAATGTGAGAAAAGTTCTTATTTTTTTAACTTGTATATATGGGTTTAGACATGTAAAAAACCAAATTGCTAACGCGGACCACCAAGAAAAAACTTTTTACAGCCAAAAAAGTCAGATTTTGTCGATATTTTTGGGGGTTTTCACCTATAACTCCTAAACAATTAAATAACGTTAAATTTTGCGTCAAATTATTACATAAACATTAAAATTTGGTTACGCCGTAAGGTATAAAACCCCGGTCAACCAAAGCTGGGTTTTACCAAATTTGTCAAAAACTGAGGAAAATTACTATAGATGGCACTAAAACTTGGAAATGAGTTCCCTAAGAGGAAAAACGCATAGAATCAATGTTGTAGAACATCAAATTTCGCCTATACTCAGTATCAACTAATTTAATGTAGGTCACTTGCTGCGAACAAAATCGGTAATATCCCGATGGTTAGAAATGGGTAATGAAGGTAAACGTGATTTTCAATATTTCAACAGTATGGGTGTCTGTTCTACTGAGTTAGTTTTATTTAGAGTCTGTTACATGCAGTATAATCTTCTTTTCCACCTCTCAACAGCAAAAGATTTTGGTAAACGATGTGCCGAAAGATTCCGAAGATTCTAAAGGACTAACGAATCCCGATTCAAGATATATAATTGGCCTAAAATAAAAATGTCAGTACTCATTGGACGCAAAATTTGATGCTCTACAACTTTGATTCTTTGGGTTTTTCCTCTTAGGGAACTTATTTCCAAGTTACAGGACCGTTTATAGTAATTTGTCTGAGTTTTTGACAAATTTGGTAAAGTTCAGCGTTGGTTGACCGTGTTTTTATACCTTACCACGTTACTAAATTATAAAGTTTATATACTCGTTTGACGCAAAATTTAACGTCCTTTAATTTATTAAAGAATACATTTTTCGCTTTGATGCATTGTTTAGGAGTTATAGGTGAAAAACCCAAAAAATATCGAAAAAATCTGACTTTTTTGGCTGTAAAAAGTTTTCCCTTGGTGGCCCGCGTTAGCAATTTTGTTTTTTACATGTCTAAACCCATATATACAAGTTAAAAAAATAAAAACTTTTCTCACATTTTTCGCAATGGATTTCTCGTTTCGATCCTCAAATTATTGGCCTAATATTCTTTAAATCAGCCGCCATTTTTGAAAGCAGCGGCTCTGGAACGGCAGACAAGGTTTTTTTTACTCAGAATAACATACACTTTCGTAATTTACAATCAAACCTTCGCCTGCGATCAGGTCGATTTTTGGGCCCTGGCTCCAGGGCTATAAACTGTAAGGGGTTTTTCTCGGACCGAAGAGTAATGCCAGAGTTAAAAGCCCCCCCGAAATCGCTTGGCCACACCACCCCCATCCCATAAACCTGTATTCCTCCATAAATCTATTCATTCATACAGGACTGTTTTCTTAAAAGAAAAAAAAAAAATGTAATGCGTGCTCTCTTGTTTTGAAATTTCTTTACCAGCTCCATAAACAAAACCTCATCTTTAACTTCATTTAAATATCAATTATTTTTCCATTTCTCAACAATCAATTTTTTTTATTTGTGTTAGCCTCGTTTTAAAATTATTTCACACTTATCTATACTGCTAATTAGTGAAAATATTTATTTTATTTATTTATGCCTCCCTTCCTTGCCTTTCGGCTACACGGGATTTTGCAGGGATGCTATATCACACACGTGCATGCCATTCCTGCTATTAAACCACAAATTAATTTTCAATTTTGTTTTGTTTTGTTTTTTCAAATATCTTCTTTTTTCATTATTTTCACTATATTAGTCTGGTGGCCTTCTATTAGCAGGTTCTCTTCCCAGATTAAAGTGGGACGGCCCCAGAGCAGCTTTCCACCCGTACATAAAATCTTTGTAATACGGGTAGTTCTGCTTCGTCACTAACTCGAGAAATTCATCCTCCGTGAGGCCATAGACTCCCATTTTTCTTATCATTTCGGCCCTTAGTCCATCAAAGGCGGTGCAGTTGACGATAATATGCTCAGCCGTCTCCGGTACTCCGCAAGTGGGGCATAGGGGATCTATGTCTTTTCCAAAACTATGTAACTTAGAGCGGAAACCCCATGCCCAGTAAGGAATTGAGAGACCCAGTAGTCCGGGAGAACCCACTTAGCTTTCAAGCGACTTCAGACGGTGGGGAAATGTTTTCTTAAAGTTCTTCCCTTCAAGGTTGTTACCCACCGCCGATTCCACTCATCTATGGTATCCTCCCGGATAATCCTCTTCCATTTTCTTGGGTCTTAATCAGTGAAAATATGTGAACATGCTGATATATATATAAGTTAAGCGTCGGCGGACTCTAACAATAAAAAAAAAGAAAGGAAAGGGCTTGAAATGCAACACTCACGGTTTCAGAAAAGATACTGCTTTATTCCTTTAGTAATCCTCCTTATATACATTTCATATGTTTATTTACATTCAGGACGGTATTAAGGCTGATATCGCCGGTCTCCGGTCTTTATCTCCCCCCCACCAGTTTACGAATAGGATTTTTCGGAAACTTGGATATTCCTAGATCGGAGCTAACGATTATCAGTCTTAACACCTTACAATTGTTTTTACAAGTATAAAGTTGAAAGAAAGTAAAACTCACTCGAGACATACAATAATACAAAGAAATAAAAAAAACAGAACTAAACACAACACTTGCTTCCAAAAACAGAACTCTTAAAATCCTAAAAAAAAACAGAGAAGGAAAAAAAAAAATAATACACTTTCCTCTACTGTATTGCTATGATTCTATTTACACATAAAAAAAAAATACACCATATTTTTGCTTAGACAACCAAAAAAAAACATATTTGTTATAACGTGGTGAGGGTACTACGAATCCGTTAGTTTATGTTCCGGTTCTATCATTGGGAGCTTCAATTGTTCAATGTGAACCGTTCTCCTCTTTCTAGGTTCATTAACGCTTTCGATCGTTAGTAGATTATGCTCCCTAATAGCAATCACTCTGAATGGACCCTCGTATCGTAACAATTGTTTCCCTCTGTTGGTCCCTACTCTACGGTACACTATTGTCCCGATCTTTAGATCACCCATTTGGTCACGTACGCGAACATTCTGCCTCTCTACCCGCTTCTCCTTTTCCCGCTTAATTTTCGCCGTTACTCTTCCCCACGTCTTTTCCATCTCCACCCTATTGCTCTGGATTTGCTCGACTAATGGTTCATTAACCGTTGTTTCCCCGCAATCTCGCCTTGGCCTGCGCATCCCGAATAGTACTTCCACGGGCGAAAATCCCGTGACGGAGTGAATCGAGTGGTTGTAGGCTGTTACCGCTTTCTTCATTGCAACATCCGGCTCCAACCCTTTTTCCCCCTGATACACCCGGATGTGATCACTCAGCGTGCTGTGCAACCGCTCAATGCCGCCTCTACCCTTAGGATGTCCCGGGGTGTTATAATGCCAACGAATCCCTAGTCGTTTCACCTCCTCCCTAATCGCGGCATTGTCAA